AGCAGCAGTAGCAGTAGAGCCGCAGCAGTAGTGGTCGTGATCTCTAGTGTCGCGGTGGAGGTGGTGGTGGTGGTGGTGGTTGTTGTACTTGTTGCAGCAGCAGAGACAATCGCATTTGTCATCTTCTTGCCCTTTTCAGCGTGCCTTGCTTGCATGCAGCGATTGAGCATCGATGGCAACCGAAAACTTCGGCCCTGAACGAACACTCTGCGTACTGCCAGTGAGCCATTGACCAGCGATCAAGGCTTTGTCGACGAAGCTGGTCCTGGAGACTATCGCCTTTGCTGGTGCCTTCGTTGGGCAACTAAAGATACTAAAGTAGGCTTCGCATCGGTGTAGCATGATGCAGCTAATCGTTGGTCAGCTTACAGCTACCTGTCCAGAACTTGTACGTGGAATGTTCATTATTGTCTTCGTTGTGTCTTTTTCTGGCATGACCCCAGATGACCCCAGAACTAGGCACATTGAGGTGTCAGGGCAGTCGCCGCCCATGCTCTACACCAGAGGACCTCCGTATGGGTAGCTTGACTACTTACTTGAGTCCATGCCCTCGTGTGGTAGGACTTCAACTTCGATGTTGGCAAGCTGAACATAGCTTCTGCGCAGTACGTGGCCTTGCTCAGTTGCACAAAGCTCTGCGCTCCTTGGCACAGGTCTGAGTGACTGTCATGTTGAGGTCTGGCCGCTCTGCACCTTCGAGGTTGGAGTGCAAGCAACGGCAGAGCTAAGCCGCGCCCATTGCTTCCTTGCTCAGGAGACAGTCTTCAGAAGCTGGCGGGACCCGGCAGCTAGCTGCTAACTGCCGGAAGACTGCGCAAAAAAGCGTGCCCATGCCTGAGCAGCCATGGCAGGACTGGCAGACCTTCGACGACTGCTGCTGCAACTACGATGAAGCGGGCTGTGCTCTCAGAATTTTGGCTGCAAAAACAAAGGCTGTTGCAAAGATGTGTTTCATATTCAGGTGCCGTTGGCTGCAAGGACATACCACAATCGAAGATCACTCTATACCTTTCTCAGAATGTTCCGGCTTCCACGTGGCTTTGGTCTTGATTGTGCCCTCGGCAGGACGAAGCCTCTTACACCTACCAACTTTGTTCTGCCAGATGCCCCAGTGACGCGAGCACAGACGCGGTGAGTCTTCGACGTATGCGCTACGTGAGGCCTATCCGCTCCGATGACGCTCACAGGCCTGTTCTGCCTCCAAGTTCGGCACTTTAGACTGGAAGTGGACTCTTTCCCCAAGAAGGACGTGGCGAGGCGCGCTCGCCGAAAAGGAAGTGAGCTTAGATTCATTCTCAGCTTAGCACCTCAAGACTCCACCCGAGACTTGAGATGCTGCCGAAGCCCATTAAGAGACATGGCGCAGAATGCAGAGTGCGAGTTGTAAACCCAGGCCAGAGAGTGCAAAGCACCGTCGGTCGTTTGTGCTGTGCACCTGCAGTGTCTCCAGCATCGCTGACGAAGTCGCGTTGCCTCGGAACCTGTGTCGTGTCTTCGGGTGTCATTGATGGTGCATTTATCGGAAAAAACGCTTCAGCTGCATGGCGGATTCTGGGTCACTTACGCAGATGGCTGGTGAAGTCGCTTGTGCTGCTTCGAGGGTGGCTTAAGTATCAGGAAGTAGCACACAGCTGAGTGCCCATCATGGCGGACAAATCGGAGAATCCGATGCGACAGATCCGCGTGGAGAAGCTCGTGCTCAACATCAGCGTAGGCGAGAGTGGTGACCGCTTGACGCGAGCAGCAAAGGTGCTTGAGCAGCTTACAGAGCAGCAGCCCGTGTTCTCCAAGGCTCGCATGACGATCCGCCAGTGGAGCGTCCGCCGCAACGAGAAGATTGCATGTCACGTCACGGTCCGCGGCGAGAAGGCAGAGGAGATCCTTGAGAAGGGGCTGAAGGTGAAGGAATACGAGCTCCGGAAGAAGAACTTCGCACGCAACGGCAGCTTTGGCTTCGGCATCACCGAGCACATTGACTTGGGAATCAAGTACGACCCTGGCACCGGCATCTACGGCATGGACTTCTACGTGCACCTGTCTCGGCCAGGCGGCCGCGTGCAATACCGAAAGCTCCGCCGCGGCAGGGTCGGATCTTCCCACAGGCTCAGGAAGGAGGACGGCATGAAGTGGCCCCTCGGCTCCGGTAGCGAAGGACAAGACCCCGAGGCCCCGAGAAAGCAGTTCAAAACCTCAGCAGGCTGCAGGTTCACGGTTTGGCTGTTTCACAGCAGGCTGTATTCCTTGCACCGCCTCGTTTCTGACTGTTGCCCCCCTGGGACGGTCCCTTTCCTTCGCCCGAGGTTCCAGACCAAGTACGACGGCATCCTGCTAAACTGATTGTGAGGACTCAGGTTCGCCACCGATACTTACAGCCGGACAAAGTTTCTGCACTGTCCAGTCACAGATTCAGCAAGTGTAAGCCTGAGAATGCTGGCACACTCGATCTCTCTCCGAAGCCAGCAAGGCCCAAACTGACCAGAAAAGACCCGGAAAGCAGTAAGCTAGCTAAGTAGCACTTCCTCCTGCAATGGCGGACCGCAAGGCTGTGGCTCGGCATTGTTGGCGGGTCTCGAGCTTGTCGTTTGCCTCTGTACATTTCTTGTCTTCTTTGGTTTTCCCCCTCAGCACCATAGCTTCATGATCCTCGCCCTTCCCTCTCACCGGCGGGAGTCACCGTGAAGAAAAAATTGTTGCTTTGACTGCAGGTCATCAAGAACGCAGACATGGCTGAGGACATGCAGCAGGATGCCATCGACTGCGCAACACAGGCTTTGGAGAAGTACAACATCGAGAAGGACAGTACATGCTTGGCTAAGCACTGCAATGGGTCAGCCTCATCTTGACAACTGCTTCGTGCACCCGACGAGATGCCTCAATCTTTGTCTGCCTGGCCTGCCCATACAAGCTACGTTCAGGATATTGCAGCCTTCATCAAAAAGGAGTTTGACAAGAAGTGCTCGCAGCTTCCTAGGCAAGTCACGGAACACTAGCTAGCGCAACATCAGGCGCCGTTGTTCGCAGCCGCATGTGTGGACGATTCACGATTCTGAATGGGCGAAGTTGTGATCGTATGGAACACAACAAGAAAAGTTGGCGGGACAATGGCTTTCGCAGCTTGACCGTGGCTGTAAACAGGTACAATCCCACTTGGCATTGCGTGGTGGGGCGCAATTTCGGATCTTATGTGACCCATGAGACGCAGCTTTGCGGCCGTAGTGAACGATGTGTTTGTCTCATGCCCGCACATGCCCCGTCTCGACAAACCCGGCACGACTGCCCCGCCACCGAGGAAGCACTTCATTTACTTCTACCTAGGCGAGCGTGACAGCTGGATGTTAAGTTCATTGCAGAAGTGCGTGTTGCGCTGAAAGCTTCGCTCACAAACTGTGGAACAGGCCAAGTGGCGATCTTGTGCTTCAAGTCCGGGTGATCGTGTGTGCACCTGAGGATTTGGTGGGCTGTGCTGACACAGAACTTTGGCAGCTGCATGTTGCCAGGCACACGGCTGGAAGAAGTCTGAGAGGGGCCGTTTGAAGGAACTCAGGACGTCCTGCGAATGTCTGTAGAACTTCAACTGGCGTGCATGTTTTCGAAAGCATTTCGAACGGCAGTAAACTTCTGCTGTTCGAGAATTGGTGTGTTGGAATAAGGATGACCTTGACTCTCAACCCGCGCAAAAAATCCATGAGTCTGAGGAGGATGCAGGTGTTGAGGTTTCAGTCGCGGCGGCGGTGCATGCTTTACCGTATGCAAGATGGGTGATCAGTGATGGCTCAGAACATGGCGGAAAAGCTGCCGGAATGGCGGCAGCAGGAATAGATGTCATCTCAGCGTTGACAAAGGTATAGAGTAGTTATGAGTAGACATCTAGCCAAGACACGCTGGCTGACTCGCGAGGTTCCTAGTCTCTGCCCACTGGACGCAGCAAGATTCCACTGCACAGAAGGGCCTAAGGCCGGTTGTCAAGCAGGGAGCCCATGGAGGGCCTGGACAGCCCGCTCCTTGAGCCGCAGCACGGGGCGTCCCAGTTGGCCCTGATCCTGAACTTGAGCCTTGTCTTGAAAAGCTACTGGAGCTAGGCCCGGCTAGCTTGTTGCTTTTGTAAGTAGGGCGGAAAAGCAGGCCAGAAAGCCGAACGGTGACTACATCAAAACAGAAGCAACGACGGCAGCACCGCCAACACGATCAGCAATAGCAACGAGGACGACAAGAGAAACAACGACATCAGCATCATGTTTGCAAGAACAACAGAACAGTAACGCAAAGTAATAGTAGCAGGAAGTCACAATCTAACGGGGGTAAGGGGGAGGGGGGTACGGTATGGGACTATTCAATATTGCCTTACATGGGCCAGATTCGACACTTATCACAGCTACCTAAGGCCCAAAGCGTCTTCAGAAAAAAACATGAGACAACACACTCGACAGGGGCCACGAAAAATCCAGATTCGACTGCCGTCAGTAGAGGCCTCCCTGTTCCCTTATCCGTCGGCTTGCCCCTCGGCGCCACCCCACCATCTTCCACTCTCGACTCCTTGGCCAGTAAGACTCAGTAAGAACCGAAGGATCAATGCCACTCTGGGCTGTGGCATCCTCAGTCTTCCCTGGGCGACTGCGGGCGCATCTCTCGTGCCTGCAGCCATGCTTCTTGGTGGAAACTCGCTTCTTTTGGGAGTGGTTCGTGAGCTTCCATCCAGGCTGCAAACACGCCGCCTGAAGTGTGTGCCTGTTTTCTTATTGCGCTCCATAATGGTTCTTGGTCAGTCCATTGGCATGTTAGCCATCATCATGGCTATTGCAATTTGGCGTCGATTTCTACTTGTGCATTCGATTTCTCAGTACATAGGTTATATGCCCATCCCCAGACCATCCCAGACAGAATAGCTCTCAGTATGATTGCTGTTATCGTCCTGACTGTACCAAGCCAAGACATGCATAACAATCTGTAGCAGGCGGCAACTCGAAGTCCCGAACCGTTTGACACACTTGTCGAAGGTTGTACTGTGCGGTGCTTGTTCTCCACGAGGCAGTTTACAATATTTGATATTTGGCGGCTTCGGATGTGTGGTTTGCGATCATAAGACAATTGGACAAACTGCAGGCAGAGTAGGTGAAACGGAAGTTTGAATTCGATACAGTCTCAGTCCTGGTATGTCTCCGTAGTCTTCAATGGGTAACTGATACTGGTGGGCTGAAACTTGCCGTTCCTGGAACCATCTGCAACCCATCGCCAATGCCAGCACCAACATCACCACCATCATCAGGCCTCCCTCAAAGAATAAAATACACGCACACAAGCACACAACTGGATATGTGTGTCCAAAGCGGGTCAAAGACTCGTGCAAACTCGCACAACTCTCAGCTTGCTGAGCTAAACTAGCCACCCTCGAATTAGCTTTTGCAGAAACTGGCGATACCTTTCTTTGTGGCAAGCCTCCATCAACCAGGCTCACCCTGGTAGTGTTGGCAGCGAACGTCGGGACCAACCTTATCTTGGTGTATGCGGCGGAGCTCGGGATGTTCAAAGTTGGATTAGCTACTTTCAATCTTCCTGCGCTTCGGACTTTGTGCGCTCTTAACAGAATACCAAGGAGAAAGAGCAGGTCTTCGATCTCGGCGGGCTGCTCGGGCGCCTCCCTCATGCTGGCCGATCTGCCCGCGCTCTGTGCGAAGCGATGATCTGGATCACGGTCTTCATGTGCCTGGTGGGCGGGTTGACTTGAAAACACATTCAAGTGCCACAGCACCTCCTTGCCACAATCTGTTGAAAGCTGAATGCTGGCCACAGACTGCGAGTGAGAGGGCACACTCAAATACAATCTTGAAGTCAATCGAACACTTCGCGGTACTATCCAGATAGATGCGAACATCCCTGGTCGCAAGTTGAATCATTGAAGACTGTTGCAGCTTGCGCAGGTCGGGTACCTGGTGGTCATCGCCGACAGTCTCCAACGCCTCCTGCCCTTAGAGCGTTACCTCGCAGTCTTCGCAGGTGCTACGGTCGTTCTGCCTCTCTGCTTCATGGATCAACAGCACCTTGCCTTCTCATCCACTCTTAGCATCGCCGCGAACCTTTACGTGTGCTGCGTGTTGGTGGCAGCCTTTTCCCTGGGCTGGAGGGGAGACCCCGGGAAGTTCGAGGATGTGGAGGATTGCTGCTTGCTGGGATTTGGGCGAGGAGATTTGGCTATGGTGAGCGTTCTCATGCAAGCTGCCGTAGTGCAGATGTGTATATTGCCAATGTACGAGCAGATGGATCGCAGAAGCCCACGCAGGTTCGCGGCATGCCTGGGCATTAGCTTTGGCTTTGTGGCTTTGCTTTTCATTGGCTTCTCTGGTATTGCCTACATTGCTATCGGTCCCAAAGTCTCTTCCAACGTCCTCCTCGACTTGCCACACGGGCCGTTCGGAAGCTTTGCTCGGGTGGTCATGGCTTTTGCTGTGATCGGGGTGTATCCGATTCTGACCTCGTCTATGGTGGCACCCATTCGGCACCAACAGTCTGGCCCATGGCAGCCTGGGCCTCATATCCGACCCGAAGACAGCCCCTACAGTTCCTAAAGGACACTGCAGAGAGTTCCAGGTCCGCCACTGTGGGCATCGTCGCCTGCAGCGCGGTCCGGGCCTCAGAGGCCCGGGCTCTCTCCAGAGAGAGGGGGCTTCGGGCTGCAGGTGGTGGCCTGTGTCACGACGGACCTGGGTGAGGCAATTTCGATTGCCTTGACTGTCAGGGCCGGTGTGAAGTCACAGTATCCTTGCAATGTGTCGCTTACGGTTTTGCTATGCTCATGCAACTATTGACAATGCAACCGAGATCTACTGCTTTGGACAGGGCACCTTTATGAAGGCACATGCGTCGTTCCTTTCGAGAAGGTGTTCCACCTGTGCAGGTGAATGTGATCAGCGGGGCCTGCCAAGCCGCAGTGCGCGATCCTCAGTAAAGCTGCCTCTGGGTAGCTGCAATTTTTCGCGTCCTGAGCTTCTCACCAGACTTGCACTGCCCAACAGACGAACGCATGGTAGGTAGAACAACATGAAGGATGTGGGGTGTTTGTGGGTCCAAGTCCGAGCACAGAGCCAATAACAAATAAGCGTTGCACCATCGAAAAGCACAGTCAGCAGTTTGCAGAATCTACAGTACTCGGAAGCACAGAAACACGGAATTTATGGCCGGCGTGCCGAAAAGACCGACATACCGCATTTGCGAATGCTTCAGATTGCACGTTGCTGCCGGCTCGGCATGCGTGAGCCTGTAAGAAATCACTTTTAACATGCTTTTCTAATGCTGCAGATGCTGGACACATACATTCATGTTTGCAAACGTGGGGGTCCTGCTCAGTTCGAAGATACACATGCTTGCATCAAAGCACTGGGTGCCCGATCTATACTTTCGTGCCAGCATTTGGCGAAGAGTATACGTACATGGTGTTCCGGCACAGCGGTGCTCCCCCAATTTTGTTGTTGAACGGCGTTACACCTCTATACAGGCATCATTTATTCAAAAGAGCTCGCCGCCAGCATCTCACAGCGTGCCTTGGTCTTTGTGCAGTACAGCATGTGAAACAGCTGTCAAAGCTGGAGCAAAGTCCGGTGCATGCCCCTGTGTGGATTCCCATCATGTCCGGCTGCGGAACGCCAGAAAAAAAAGCAAACAAGCTGCGCACATAAAACCAAAACAGCATTCTAGCATTCGGGAGAAGACAAGAGCTCAGTGGGGCAGATAAACTCTAAAACATCTCTGTGCCCGAAGAAGCCTAAACTGGATTAAGGTTTGTGGCCTTGGCACCTGCCTTGGTGGGCTTATGCTTGCTGGAGCAGTCCAGCCAGCGGCTTATCTTCTCAGGGATCAGTTTTTCTGTGGAATTTCTTGGTACTTCTGTCGTTTTGTCAGGCAGGCTATGGAGATTCTCTATGGCATTGCTGATCTGCGTCGGGTTTATGGCCGGATCCTTTCACCAGCTCGGTGTGGAGCAGTAGGCACATGAGCTGTTGAGATGGGCCGGCTCCAAGGTGTGCATTGCCGGTCTTGTGTTCAAGGATAACTATGTACCTGAGATGGAGGCGACAACCGGCAACCATTGAAGAACGAATGCCGTGTCAGACTGTGTCTGTCAGTTTATGCTATGCACCCTTCGAGCTATCATCTGGCCAGGCCAGCTGCCTGTGGCCGGCAAGCTTGGTGAAATAAATCTTGCAAGAATGCCTGCGCTGCTCTTGTTGATAGTACAAATGGAGCGAGAGTGGTCTGCATGCATGCAGTAGCCATTTGGGCTCAAAGCCAAGCTGGTTGGGCTGCAGGAAGGAACTCGCCCATACTCTCCTAGTCTGGAGATTTCAGAGAGTGCAATGATGCTCGCATTGCTTGCCATGCTTCCAGTGTGCTTGGCATCGCCCAGTGAGTACTGGGCCTTAGCTTCTCCGGCCGTGCGGAAGGCACGAGCTCTGCAAGGCCTTGAAGCTGGCAAGGCCTTGGGAGGGCGCAGGCTTAGCAGCGAGAACAACTCTGAAGCTGGGAGCTGGGCACCTGTGTGGTGTGGACAGGAGAAGTACAATGGTGCCGCAGGGCAGATGTGGTACGCCAATCCCTTCACCACGGCCTGCAGCCGAGCCTCCATGGACCTCGTGTATGTCGATGGAGGCCGAGCGCGGGTGGCCAAGAAGGGCGATTTCATCAAGATGACCTGCGACAATTGGGAGTGCCCCATCCCACCGGTCGTGGATTGCTACTTCGATCGCAATGCCTGCCAAGCGGATGAATGGTGCATGGTCATCACGCATGAGAAGTGGGGTGCTTGGGCCATGGGCAAGAAGGGGCACACTCCCAACTTCGAGCTGTGCGGCGAACAGTACTATGCGGAAATCGAAGCGATTGCGTCCCAGGGCGATGTCCGCAACGTGACCGTGGAAGCCCTGAAGTTGAGCCGGGACAGGATTTGTGGCAGCTCGACGGTGGGGATGGCCAACGGCATCCAGCTTGAGGGCTACGGCTACTCTGAGACCCAGCTCTGGAAGCCCTCTCACGGTCGCTGTGTCAAGTATCGCCAGGAAGGTCAGAGCTGCATCCCCACCCTGGCTACGCATGGACGCTTTGCCAACGCCTTCGTGCGGCGAGCCCAGACCGGGGCATCGTACCCCAACGGGGGCACCATGGAACGGCCGCTTGCCTGTGCACCCGGTTTGGTTTGCACGGGGCCGGACTTTGATGTGTTGCCCTCCACCTGTGTCAAAGAGCGGCCCCGAGACGTGTGCTATGCTGGACCCTGGTGGGACAGCTCCCGCTGCCCACGCACCTCCATGCAAAGATCGGGCCTGAGCACAGAGTGGGCGCTAGAGTCGCTACAGACCGCCTTCCTGGTTTTCCCCGGTGAAGTCGCCTCCGCGATGCACTGCAAGTACTGGACGGGTCCTATGGCCACCTTCACTGCCGAAGTCAGGAAGGTGACACACAACATCTTCAGGGCTCTGTGGCCTTCGCATCTGGTTGGCGACTGCCCGACGCTGGAGGAACTTTATGCCAGCATGTGGCGCCAGACCGGTGTCGACTTGACAGCCTTGAGTCCGGAGGAGTGCGAGGCTGGCGAGGGCCGGGATGGCCGCATTGCAGAGGCACTGGCTCTCGTGGGGTCCTGGACTCATCGGCCGAACCTGTTGTGGAGCCTCATCCACTTTTCCATGCACAATCAGCCCTCCCCGATGTCCAGGAATGCCGTGGCAGCCTCGACGGCCTTGGCAAGCCACCTGTCGGAAAATTTTTGGTGTAACGACTGCCGTGGCTTCTTCACGGTTGGCGTCCTATCGGTCGTCGGCCTGCCACCTCAGAATCCGGATGGAGAAGAGCATGCGAGGTACTGGAACCTTGGCCACAACATCGCTTCCGAGCACGTTGCGACCACCCGCGGTGGCCACCCCTGGATCAACACACTGGAGGAGGCACAGGATGCCGACGTCGGGAACCCCTTTTTCGTCCCCTACGAGGCTTCTGTGAAGATGTGGCATGTGGAGGCCTGAAGCGAAGTTGCCTGTGACCAGCTAGCTGGACCAAATTAACAAAGTTGCTTCTTGACTTCTTGCATAATTTTGTCTCCGGGCTTTAACCGGGAGCCCGAAGAGTGTCCTGCAGTCGTCGGTCAGGCAGTCCGGCGACTTGGTTTGACGTTCTCTGACCTTAGTCTTGGGATCGCTCTCTTTGGAAATGCATGGAAGTGTGCAGCCTCGGCAGGCACCGCCCCATGCATAAAATGCGTTGCCTGCGGTCCTGCACACCTGTAAAGTTGGGCTTCCATGTTGAGACGGCTCGTGACTTATCGCAGAGAGTCGGATGACAAAAAGAAGCTCAGACCTAGTCGCCGTACATGCCTGCGCGAGTGTGAGTGGGAGCAGCTCCATAAAGTTCTTGAAAGCCGGAACCTCCGCGCCGCCACTTCGCTGATTTCGGTTCCACGCACAGATAGAAAGCTTTCCATGGTGTTCGAGGAAGCTATAAGCCAGACAAGAGAATGACACTGCTCTGCAAGGGCTCTGCTTCCTGACCTTGCAAAGAAGACTTGGCTCCAAGCAGAGAATGCGGAGACTATGGCAGCGGAAGCAATGCCACCATGCAGCATGCCAGGAACTGCTGCAGGCAGGCGTCTCGAAACTTCACATGCTCTAGCTTTGAAGAGGCTGATCTGAGTTCGAAATATTGCCCGGCTTCATATACAGACATCTACAGGCAGAGATGAAGATTGAGACAGACATAGATAGAGAGATAGATAGGTTAGAAGGAATGGTAGATAGGCAGACTGACGGATAGACGGATGGACGGATGATCGGATGAACGGATGGATGGATAGATTTAGGCGAGAGATAGATAGATACATAGATACATAGATAACGCATGGGCAGATGGATGGATAGATAGATCGGTAAAAGTAGATATGAAAGCCGAGCTCTTTTTGCTTGCTTTGGGTTCTCTGGGTTGCATGGTTTGAGTTTCCTGTCGGATTTTGCGGCATGTGCTTATGTTGTGCATTGGCATTCTATCTTGGATTCTGTATTTCGTTTGCCCGGGTTTCTGCTTTGTGGTTTCTCCGGTGGTGCAGGGCTTGAGGCCTGCCTCTGAGATGTTTGCAGTCCTGACCAAATTCTCACCTCGCAGAAACGAAAAGGGTAGAGTGTCGACTTCGAACCCATTCTAAGCTAGGCTGTGATCTGTGATCTACTGTTATGCGCTGCGGTATGCTGTTACATGCCAAGAATTGCCAGGCCCAGCTATGGCGGACGGTGGGTGGTTGGGATTTGGGCAGCAGCAGCTGTACTGGCAAATGGCCTAGATGACGCTGAGGCTTTGCGATGTGTATCGTCACAGTTGAAACCTCTGCATACTTCTCGATTGACAGGTAGAGGCTTGCGTGCTGAACCTGCCGCACTGTCCGGTGCCTAAGCTATCGCTGAACGCGTTGTTGAGCAAAAGTGGACACCAAAGACTCATCCATGGATCGGGCTGCTTGCAGCGCAGATGTGCAAGGTATTCGTGTGTTAACTGATGCTGACGAGGCTGCCTACTGTGGTATGGAATGGAGCCTTCCCTATGCATGCGGTGCTGCTGTCTTGAGCAGGCTAGCCAGGAAAAGCTGACAGCGCAGTTAGTACAAAATTGGCTTCAACGAGTTTCTGCTTATGCCTCGCGCTCAGCAGCGTGGGCGAGGGCTGTGCGCCACTGAATTTTCACGCTGCTCCAGCTCAAGAAGACTTCGAAGCGGACAGACCTTAGTCTGTCCTGCTATAATACGTCAAGGGAGGACACATCCGGCCACAACCAGGAACAAATCAGTGCACGGCAGCCTGGCCTTACTTCATGCCAGGAACTCTCTGACTCCGTGGCGAACGAAGCAACAGCAGCAGCAGCTTGAGACCTGACAAGCCGGGCTGGCCTTGTCGCATCAAGCAGTGCCACAGAGCAGTTTGCCACACAGGATGTGTCATAGTGCAAGCCGACACGGTGCCACAAGAGACAAGGCACAAAGGTGCAGCAAAGAACGAATGCCACCAAATCAGAGCATGCTCAGATTGCGGGCTTGCAGTGATGGGAAGAAGTCGGCTGAGCGGCTCACATTCGGCTCCTGCACTGTAAGGTCGGCATCTTAACTTTGCGGATTGACAGAGCATCCATGATACTCAAAGGCATTGTCTTACCGGCCGGAAAACTCAAACAAGGCTTAGCTCCTGTACCTTGCTAGGGACTTGGTTGATCGAAAAGAGATGCACATCATCTTCCCGAACAGCACGATTTGGCAAACTGCATTCTGCAGTCTGTCTAGACGTTCAGGTTTCAAGGCGCGAGGATTCTGGCAAGGCTAAGTTCAGTTCAAACCTGATTGGAACAGTTTTGGGCCTTCAAGGCATTGCAAGGCGCTTTCCCAAGATGACGTGTGGTGCTGTTCCAAGCCGGCTGCTCAATTTTGCCTACAGGATGCCGACATGGAGCAACCCAGCTCGTCTGGGCCTTACACAGGAGAGAGATGCGCAAGTCTACTCCACTCCAGCCTGGGCCGTAATTGAGCCGCTTGTTCTCTCCGAGACTTCGCTCCGAAGCATTGCGGACGCTACTGGACCTGGCCGCCGCGACAGACGAGCATCCACACTTAGCCTGGGGTCCCAGAGTCCTGAGACGCCACCCTGCAAGAACGAATGGCTGAGTTCTGAAGCTGTCGAACAACTGGACAGATATGTCCATGTTTGACAATACACCCCAGAAGACCATGCTGCCCGTGGCTCCCGAGCCGACAATATGCTTAGCTAGGCCGCCTTGGCAGAAAGCCTCTCAATTTACGGCTTTTCTTCTCGGCCGCACCGATGCCAGCAGAAGTGACGCGTGTTGCCAGCCAGCAGCCCTTGGCCCAGGCACTTGGCCTGGGCCAAGCACTGCATTCTTTTTTCTGGTGGGGGCATGAGTTTGGACCTGAGCCGGCTTTGGAGGCTGCTGTGAGAAAGTGCGAGTGGCGCCCAAGGCCACAAGAAGTGGGGCTTGCGAGCCCCAGTGTTCAGGCGAGTTGGAGTCCTCCAAAGCTCGCAACAACAGCTAGAAGCCTGGAGCTGATGCGAGGTCATGCGGGAGTCTCTCACTCTCCATGAAAGAGCACTGGCCATTGCAGGCAAGCTGTGGCTGTTTGACTCAGAATCTTACCTCGAAATACTGCGAACAGATTCAGTAGATGCCACTACGGCAAGGCTGCGACCTCATCGACTTGGAGCTTGAAGAGTTTCTCCTAAGGAGCCTGGTATGGGTGCGCATTGGCAGGAAGCATTTCGGGAACCTGCATCGGATCGCCCCCTTCCGGGCAGGAAATGTCCCTGGAGATGGCGCTTTACCTTCCTCATCGGATCGGAGCTTGGGCCAGCTCCCCAGCAGCTGACCCGCCCTTCCTCGCAGGGGATCACGCCGATCGTTGATTATGGGTATTTTCCGCTGGTAGCACGGGGGCAGCACCGCGTCGGCGAGCTTGCAGACACTCGGGCGAAGGCGCGCCGTGGGTCCGCAGAGCTCAGGCTGGAGCTTGCCCGTGGCAGCCAGGCCTTTTTGGGGATTGCACTGTTCTGCCGTCTACATATAGCGTCTACCCTCGATCAAAACTAAGTGCCGTGAGGACTTCAAAGCGGCTTCGGAGACCTTCGACCATGTAGCCCGTCGGTTTGCAGAACTGCTCAAGCCCTGGCATGTCAACGAACATCTATCTAGGCATTGCCTGGCGAGGGTTCCTGTGCTACCACAGGCAGCAGCTTCCCTTCTTTGTCGGCAAGACCGCCAGCCCAATGCGACTGAATCAGCACCAGTCTGAGCTGGCAACCCCCTCTGGAATATGTCTGCATATGTTGAAGTGCAGGAATGCTGACTTCTTCCCAGCTGCTCGGACCAGAACTATCAGAGAATCCTTGCTCTGAGCGATGAAAGTTCGGGGCTCTACATCTGAGACAGCTCGGCACTGGCCGATCTGGGCACGGGAACATTGGCCGGACTTCGCCACCTTCATCGAAAGGCGGGCCGGCTTTCGTGATGCCCTAAGACCAAGTAATGCCCTGAGGCCTACAGTAAAGCATCCGCACCAGAAACCGGTAGGCGAAACAGTGCAAAGCAGGTTCCCCTGGTCCCAGGCACTACTCGACGTTCCGGTTCAGCCTCGAGGCCGAGTCTGCTGAAAAGGGTTGCCATGTCAGCCCCAGCCGCACCGAGTTCAGGGGCCGTTGAACGGCTTCCGCTTTGCTTGCAAAGTTGGTCTCTCCGCCACGAATCGCTCGACGCCAGGCTCTCTTGGAGGAAGATCCTGACGGTGCCCATTTCGGTGTCGGGCCCAGACATCACAAGACACCCACCATAAAAATGCTCCAGCTCTGTAGGGCTTAGCTTGTTCTGCGGAAATCCACGCACTGGCGAGGCGCAGCGGCGCGGTTTCAGAGCGGTCTGACGCCGAGGCTCCATGCGAGCTGAGTCTCTACAGAAATAGCATGGCAGGCCATGAAAGCAACACTCAGAGAGAGAGGGAGACAGAGAGTAGAATTAGGTAATTGGGGGTAATTACCTTGCCATCGCAGGCAAGACAGTGCTTGTGGGCATCGCTGTTCTTGCGGCTAGGAAGGAGGATTGGACCAGGATCAAGCTCATTCACAGCGGAGGAGCTTCACAAGCGCCGAAACAGAAACACACGCCCATGAAGTGACACGTTGCATCACGCTATCATGGAAGGAGAGTCCGATCTGTGCCGCTTGCCCTTCCTTCAGCCCAGCTGTGCGCTGCTGGCACAAAGACCAGAAATCGGTTCAGCCTGTGGAACCTATCTGTGCAGAGCTCGGGGTGCTGGTGTGTCGTGCTGCCGCATTCGATCAGAAATCTCTTTGGATGAGGTCGGGCGCCTCTTTCGCCCGGCTGCTACCAGGAGCCCAGCTCAAGCCACACTTCGGTCCAGAGCTCAAAGGCTCAGAGGCAAGTACGAAAGCCGGCTCCGTACTCTGCGTCCAGGCACACACCCGCGACT